GAGGAAAAGGGTAGTGTATAAATAGATATAGCAACATTCACAGAAATGCATTTTGGAATTTCATTATGCTAAGAAATCGCAAAAAGTAAGTTCTCCAACTACCACGGTATTATACCAGCGAACAAATGGCGCACATTATACTTTGGCACGAATTTCGCGGCGACCTTCACCAATGGGAGACGAAATTCGATTATATCTCCTCGAACAGCATAACAAGCAATTTAATGCAAGTTGACATTTCGTACTCTGAATTTAATTAATCTGCTAGCGCGAGAAGATTTTCGATATAAATAGAATTGTCCCTTAAGGAAGATCAAGCCTTTTTCTGATTTTTAAACGTATATCACATTTAAAGTATGAGTGCACAAATTTAAAAAGTTCTAAATTTAAAAAAAATTGTTTAAAAGTAATTTTACTGTTATTAGTACTTATATTACATTTTATATCAAATAAATAATTCTTATAATTGAGTGTTATACATTAAATGTTACACATTTATGTATATCTATGATCTGTAGAATAATGATATATATTATAATAATATATATTGCAATTGTTTTCTACAATAAACATAAAATAAATTATTGTGTGAAATTTTATATGAGAGTAAATTTAAAGTTTGAAGTTATTATTTTTGTAAAAAATTCCTAATAAGTTGTATCTTTATCTATAAATAATGGTTTGTATTGTTTTGACACTAGTATAATTAAATAATAAAGTAGTATTAGTGTATGTACTACTATAATAGTACATAATATTATAATATTATTTTATTATGAAAATACTAACTAAAATAATAACTTTTTGAAATAAGATATTCATCAGAGATTTAATTGGTATTATATTAAATTAATTAAGAGCTTTTAAAGTAAGCATAAGGCATTTGTTGCAAAATTGATTTCAGTAAATTAAAATTAATCTGTGAAGTATAAGACTTGTAAATAAAGATAAAGCTTGATACGAGATTAATTACAATGAATTTAATGACATAATATTTATAAATAAGTTATGGGCCGTGATAAAATGTCGGGTATTTTTCTCTTCCGAATTCAAACATTATATCACGCTGATCAATTACGTTATGGAGTCAAGCATCGTTCAACCTTTTCTCACTAAATTCAGTAAAATACGTGAAACGACATATTTACTCGACATTTAAGACCATTTAAAGCATAAAATTTTCAATATAAATGACAAAATTGTAATACAAGCGCTAACTATAAAATAATTTATTTATTATACTATTATATATCATATTTTTCTAATCAATATATCAGAAGAGTTTGTTGTAATAATAAAAAAAAGAATTGTAAAGACTGGAGCAGATTCAAAAGCTTTTTTAGGGGAAAGAAACAAAATATGTATAAATAAAAATATTTTTGAATCCTTTTTTAGACGATTTAGATTTGTTTGAAATTTATATTTTACTATCTCTATATTATAACTTAAATAATTCAATTCCTATTGATTATTTACATATTATAAAAAATAAAAATAATTATACATTAATTAAATAAAATATACGATATATTATCTTTTCAAATCATTCTTTTTAAAGAGGCATTTGTCCCCTTTACCCTCCTTAAAATCCGCTACTGCTAACAAAAAAACAATTTAAGAGGTTATAAAAGTTTCTGTGATATCTCTTGTCTAGAATAAAACATATATCGAGAATTTTAAATCATGTGACCTTCGATACTTCGGAAAATAGTTCGTAATGTATTCCATGATTTATCACGTATGCTACATTTCATCCTATGGAATTAATAGATAATAAATTAAATTAATAGTAAATAATAAATTAACTCCAAGTATTACTTCCATATGAAAATGTTACCAGATAAAATGTTACAAGATAATGTATTTCAAGCAGATCACTTGATCTTGTTACCGGAACATATCTGGTGCACGACTTTCATTCTTTTTTACATAGATTACGCTGGAAGCGTTTAATAGAAAGTAATCTTCCATGTTGTGCTTTCATAGTTAGTCGCATAGTCGTATCCGTGAACAATTTCCGTTACAACAGTGCCGTTAGATAAAGTTAGGTTAGGTACAAGTGGAATAGAGAAGGATGTAAGTGCAGGAGAGTAATCGAAGTATCGGTTTCTATGGTCGGGCACAATGTTCATGTTACACAACATAAATTTTCAGGTGGAGACAAACAGATACTATTTAAAGCAGACTGCGAAATCGTATTCCAAAGATCACTAGCAAGGCTGACGTACGATTGTTTTCTACCCAAAATAGAAATTTCTCCATGTAAATGTAGCGTAGGTACGTGAATAGGTATTTATGCATATATGTGTGTATAATGTGTATAACTAGTATTAACTTCTGCATTCTATTTCGTTAATATCAATTCTTTCAAATTAGGTACATTATTTCTTTATGATGTAAAACTGAATACGCTTGGACTGAATTAATTAGGATTTCAATAGTAAAATAAAGAAAATTCTGTGTTACATCTTTTGTAACTATTGTATGTAATGAAAGTTAAAAAGTAATAGCTTCCTGCTATACGATTTAATTGATTTTTCTTATTTATTTCAATATTTTTTTCAGAAATATTTTTATTTGGCCTGGATAAAAAGAAAAATTTTCATCAGAAATAAAAAAATGAAATAGTGAGTTTTTTATTTTTATTTTATAAGTTGTATTTTATCTTTTATTATTGTTATTTTCTTCTTTTAGTTCTGGAACCACAACTTAAACATTTATTTACATTATTTGGTATTGATAATTATTTATAATCAAAATAATAATTATTACTTATTATCAAAATAATAATATTACCGCGAAGTATTATAAACTTGGAACGCACACATTTACGTAAGTTTTCCATAAAATAAATTGGTTATTCGATGATATAGTTTGCATTGTAATACTCTGATAATTTTCATGGTTTTAAAAAAGTAAAATTTGTTAACCGTAAATCGGGTGAAATTTACATATATTCACGCAAGTCTACCGCATTTACGATTTATCCGTGTATTAATCATAAATGTTCTTGCAGGATAAAATTTCCATACTTCTGCTCATATATTCATCATTTCTGTGCACATGACAAGTGCCACAGAAGCAGTCATTTGTACAGAAATACGTATTATTATACGCGAATGCACGTATATGTAACCACTGACGCATAACTATTATTCACATTAAATTGTTGCTAAGAAGTTCAACCCAAGCATTTTAATAATAATATTTAATGCATATTATAATAATAATATTTAACATTTACTGAAGATAAAGAAAAACATTGTATGTATTTGTTTACTTAAAACAAATAATTGTTAAGAATGGATGTACATTAATTAGTTTAATTTTGATTGTCGTAGAATCAATACAAGCAATTAGTCTTATTTATTTAATTTATTACATTATTTATCATATTAGAACAAAAGCAAAACAATTTACATTAATTTCGTCTCTATTTAAAAAAAAATTTCTAAATAATATTGGTACACCAATGATATATAAAGCAAAATAATAATATAATGCTACAATATCTTTTTTAGCTTCTTATCATAACTTTAATCCTATAATAAATGTCAAATTAAGATTTTCCATAAATAAAATTTTATTGATACTTATTTAATTGTAAATAATAAATAATAATAAATAAAACTTAATATAATAAAATGTATATAATTGAATAAACAGAAATAGAATTTGTAATGCTTCAACATAATTTTTCACTTATAAAGAATAAAAAGCAACGTTTCAAATGAATATTATTAAATTATTTATTATTTATTGTACGCTATATTAATTCTCTTATTCCATTTAATAAAAAAAAAAAATTCAAGTCGACGTCTATAATAATTTCAAGGAAAATAGCTCGTAACACTGTGTATGGTTCATCCTGCATGAATTAAATTTGCATTACTTTAGCAAACAGTACAAAAGAAATCCAGCTTTATATTACTATTAACCTAGTATGTACCTGTACCGCTTCCGTAATAATTCTGTTTTTGTTTAACTCTAAATAACGTATACAAATGCTATAAGTCCGTAAAGAAATATTTCTTTCATTGTAGGAAAGGAAATGATCTCAATGGCAAGCACAAACAAAAAAAAAATAGAAGGAAGAAAAATCTGCCGGACAAACAGATAAGTTGACCACAATCGGAGAAACATTCCATTTTTCTTACGCATCACGGCATGGTGGTATAACATACTACCGAGCTTTTGATCGCCACTATGAAATGAGCGTGAGAAACACTGGCGCAGTACATACGAAGGCGTATCATTGTACGTGTTGCGTTTGTTTGGAAGCAGTCGCGACTAACAGACAGTGGCAACGTGCTCGATTGTGACAAAAACGGCAAGCGAGCTCTTACGTTAGTCCTTGGTATTAGTGGCCCTGGGCGACTCATACTGCGAGTTGAGTGTGAGTCAATTACCAAAGTAGTGTGCTCGTGGGATGAGATAGAAATGATATTAAATGTGGTGTACGTGTGAATCTGTTAATCGGTGTCACGGAGTAGATATTTTTGCTCGTTAGTCGTCAGACGAACTTTTATTTTACATCGTGATTTCACGTACGAACTACAGCTTTCGTTTCCGGATTACGCCGTATATTACAAAGTTGCATTCCCAACGGGACCTAACCTCTTTCCAAGAAACGTCACCGTCAGTTGGAGCAACGTTATCGATTCTTAGGAACGATTGAAACTCGTGAATTGCGGTCATATCGTTGAAACAAAACGAACGAGCTCACGATAATATCTATAAGTTGCTTTTGTACCGAACTGCGAATCGTGATTATTCGACAACTGTTATATCTACTTTAAGCAGCGAACGTCCTTCAAATGGGCAGAACTCTTTAAGCATCTTTTCTCGCGTGGTTAAAGCAACATCGGCTATCCGCGAAGTATTCGTGGACTTTACGAAGAAACCGTTATAACTAAAATGTCGATTAAAAGAATCGCAGATAAGAAAGTGACTTTTCAAAAGAAAAAGAGTGAAATAAAAACGAATGCATCATATAAAATAACACGATGTGTGAAGAAGAATATAGTCGTGTGGTATTGGAGGATATTTAAAGGAGAAAGCCATTGTGAGCCGAAGCAAATATCGACTGTAACCGATTGAATGTCAACGTGTATACAATGTGTCAATGTGTGAAGTGCGTGTTTGAGGTTAGATCACTCGTTGATGGACCACGTGCGGGTAAATTTGTATGGCGCGGACTTTAAAAATGGTGAGTATATGAATATTGCTTTTAACGAGAAATTTATTAATTATTTAAGCAAAGTATGTGAAATTATTTTAACTGATATATTTTATATCATTATTATCTTACTCACTAACATCATTATCACTTAAAATTTACCAGAAGGATGTTATAAAATTATAAAATATCAATAGATATTACAGTTATATCGCACACGTTTGTTATAAATATGTGATAGATACTGTATTATCTTAAGTAGTACGCGATATAAGTCTTATCCAAAAGTAATAAATGTAAATCAATGTACGCGTTCGAAATTTTGTTGGCATAAATTTGATAGAGTAATAAAATTAATATATTCACAAATTTGATATGCAATCATTGAACAGTTAAGGGTAATGAAGCAGGAGAAATATCAAGGGGCTAGCACATTTTATCGTTTTACAGTAAAAACGATATGAAACTGAAGAATCCGTGTGTACATTTACATAGCTCATGTGGGACTCAAATATCTATAGTCTTTTATGTCTCGGCTTGGCATTTGAATACAGGTTGACTTAAAAAGTACAAAGAAGCAGCACAAGCGAGATGTGACACGATCAGAAACACTATACTGGAATATGAACGGGACCCGTATGAAATCCTATCGGTTTAAGATTACACCAAATTTATTGAATAAACTGCTTCCGCAAAATGATAAAATAAATAACTGAATTAATGTATTATTTTTATATTATAATTCAAAATATAAGTGTACAGCTTATTTTCAATTTTTTTACGTTTAGAACATTGCATGAAATAATTATTATATTGTTATTACAAATTAAGAATTATTAACATCTTATTATCAGAAGAAGCAGGAAAATTATTTTAGTGTAAATATGATAATTACATATTAATATATATACTGCCTTTTAAGAAAACTTTTATATATAATATACTTACATTAGATAGATATATTATCAGTATAATATTAGATTCATTTTCTTTTTATCTTTACTTATTTTATCTTATATTTTCATTGAAAATAAGAGCGAAATAATAACTACAATAGAGCATTACGTTTAAATGTCATTCATACATGATTTGTATTTTTAAACTGATCAATATCGTGCAGTGTAATACATGCACGTGTTAGTATAAATTTCTATATTTGAAATTGATATGTTTTTAACTTGTAACAATTGATTTCAACTCGTGCTTATTTGTTTTTCCTAAACTTTTCATTAATCGACTAAGTTTGCACTTGCAATCTTGAAGTATTCTGTAATATCATATGATATCAACGTGATAGATTATTTTAATATTGTTAAATTTAAAAAATACGAAAATTGTGTATTCATGAAAAATTTTCATATAAATGCCATATGTAATTTAAAATTTTCTTTTAATATAAATTATTAACTTTTCCATTTTAATGATAATTTACCATAGAGAATATATTAATTATAGTGAACAAAGGATAAGATGGTATTCAATGATACTGATTGATAGATAAAACTTAAAATAATGGTATTTAATGATACTGATTGATAGATAAAACTTAAAATAATTCTTTCTAGACTTTCCCATTTAATTTATAAATACCTTCATATATAAGGTGTCTTATTTCTAATGAACATATAAATTATATATAAATATAAATGGTGTAGAAATTGAAAATGAAATGATTAGCAAATGTTTCATATCATAAATCATTAAAATTATTCTGATATCGACTACATTATATTATAAAAAAACATATTATCAATGACTTTAGTATGATTTGTAAGATGACCTTGGATAAATTGTTTATCATTATATTTTAAAAGTATATAAACTTATCTTGGTTGATTTTCTTTACTTTGAATAAATAATTTGAACCATAATTTTAATGATGCTCCATAAACGAGTATATAAGCTTGTATATCTTTAATGATAAACAAATTATAGATAACTAGGGTTGTGTAAAATATTTTATAGAATATAAGATCAAATAGATTACACATTATCAATTAAGTTATGTAAATATATACCATCATTAGTATAGTATGCTATTATTCAAAACTAAACAATAATAGTTTATTCAAAACTATTAGAATAAAGTAGTGGGATTTAATACCATACAAATTTGGAGCAAAGTATAATTTATCTTATATTGAATTTTCTTTAGAATTTTTTATCAAGCAAAACCATAAATACCTTGATCACCATAAATTACTCATAAATTATTTATTATAGGAGAAAATGCCTCAGATAAAAGTTGAATGTTTTTACAGTGAATGTAATTTAATATTATTAATTCCTTTGTAAGAAATGAGCATAGAAATATATTTTTTTTTTCTTTAATGTTATTACATATTTTTTAATACATTAATTAGTGCAGTTTAATGTCCTGATGAAATACAATTAAGCTATTTAGGCCAAAAACTATTAATTTAGACGATAGCTTAATTTCAATATAGCAATATGATTTTACTATATCTTCTTCTTTAAAATAAATATATTTTTTCTACCGAATAACAATAAGAAAAATGACTATAGGAATACCAAACTGCCTGCAATAATTCTGAAAAAATTATATAATTTCTAACATTTTCTCCCATACCAAGTAATCGTATCAAGTGACTCACTCTGTATATCGATACGTTTAGTCGTTCAACTTCGATAACCGAGTTATAAATCGCGATGGCTACGTGTTAAATATAATATTAAGTTTCAATTAAACAATTGGTCTTAATAAACAGTGAAAGGTAATATAGGATGTTCCATAAGAATAACTTCCACAAATAGGTTTTTATCATCCACAAGATACACCTAAGAAAAAAATTTCCTTGAATTATCGATTACAGTTTAACGCTACTAAAATACAAAGAATTTATTCGTTTCTAATAGCTTAGGTAAATAACGATGCGTCAAAAATTTGGCTGATCTCCGGAGATCGTGAGCTCCGTGTCAGACTGCAGTTTACTTATACTTTATCTAAGTAATTATCCGGTTATGAAGTTCGTAACAAGCTTCTGATAAATCTGACCATGGAGAAGTATTACGCCAGTTGCGAACGGTATTCGTTTTAATAGGATTCCATCTGCCGGTTTCAATGCCTTCAGCCTTAGAACCGGACCGCGTTCTCGCAAAGTCTGACTATCATCTTACTCGAACGCGTATTGACTATCAGCTCCTTTGATCTATCGCATGTTGCGATGTGGCACTATACATTATAGAAATTGATAGGCGGTGAAATAAACCACTCTTTGTCAGACCCTCTTTAATCGATCCACTAACGTAAAAGGCAAAACTCTTTCCGTAAGATCTGCAAACTAATATCTATGCAAATTGAGTCGTAGAAAAAAATATAAAATTAAAGTTTGACAATTCTGCATTTTTCTAGACTATGAGACTATTTTTCGTTCTTACTTTCTTTCTTTTTGTGAGTTATTTAAAAATATAAAATTGGAAAACGGTGTATTGGTATTTTTTTCGTTTCTTTTTCTTTTTATTGTTTGTTGTATTTATTATGTTAGTACTTATATATTATTCTTTATATCAAGTATTTGAAATGTCAAGAGAGATTTAATATATTAGAATGATTTTTTAATTCTAGTAGTATTGGAATCTTCTAATAATTAAATCAAATTTGTATAAGAGAAAAATGTGAAAAGATGCGTGTCAAATAATTCTTCAACTTCCTATGCTATAATTTCATTATATAATTCTTTGTTATTAGGTTTCTGTTATTCTCAATGAATCGGTCCTAGTAAAAAATGTTATAGAAAAGTATAGTTCACTTCTTTTCGTTAATTACTAGTGTCAAATTATTGGTAAAGTACGTCAGGTAAAGGAAAATCGTATAGTTCTTTATATCGTTATCCTGTAATTAAGAAAATACAATTTAACGTAAAAGTTATAAATTTAGTCTGAGCTAGACTTAACAAACCATCGTTACAAATATTATTTGCAGAACATAAAGAAGGTCAGCTGAAGATATTTTCGTTAGCCCAGCGTTTATCAGGCATTCGGAAAAGATCGTGCAAATATTTAAACGACACAGAATGCTGCAGGTCTAAGATAGTTTCAGCTTTGTCAATTTCTTCTTGGTAATAAACTCTGTGTTTATGGACATAAATATTTTGGAAATTACTGAAAAATAAGAAATAATATTAATAGGAATTGAGATTTTTCAAAAAGATAGAATGCATCTTTCTTCAACATAAAATGGTTATCAAAATAAACATTCAAACCCATTATCAATTCTTTCTGAGATATGAACGGGCCTTCATGTTATTTTTGTAGCAGATGTTCCTTAATTCATCGATAAATCTTCCACTAATCCGTTAAAAAAATGTCATTCTTCGAAAATACTGCTTTTATTCCAATTTTCACATAAATTGAGGAACAGCTTAATAAAGTTTGAAAATATTGCATACTAATGATCTTAGAAAGCTGGCGGAACAATTTTTCACAACTTTTATTCGTTTAAGAAGATTTACGATAATTATATGCTATTATTTTAGAGTGAAAATTTTTATTGAAATATGAAAACATATTCTCTATAATAGATATGGCCATAACAAAAAAAAAAATTGTAACTTGACAAAAGTTGTTTTTAAATTTGTCGTTAATTTATTTAAGAAATATCATTTTTATTTTATGTTACTTCGATAAAGTATTTTTAAAAGTCGTGATATTTTAAAAAATTGTTATATCACGAAACTGTGATAGTCTATCATTGAACTTGGTATTTTCTATACTTAGGAAAACAATCTAACTTGATATGAATTGATATATGTATAATTGTATATACGTAGGTCGAAAGTACATATATGGCAATAAAGGATCGATAAATTCGCATCCTAGGATTATACAATAGTTCATTGACTTTACTTTCAATTACACTTATGTTAGGGCTCTCTATACGGTTATGCTGAAAAGCAATTTGAACTTAACCAAAAATTTAATGTTTCGTATCACGCATAACAGCGGTAGTGTGATAAAAATGATATTTGAAGAAAGTCCTTTTTAATTAAAAAATATTATAAGTGAGATGTCTGTTTGCATTCTCATGAAGATAATAAAACATTATTTAAGTTGATATTAATCAAATACATAATTAATTAATTAATATTACAATAAATATTAATAAAATATATAATAAAATAAAATAAAATACATAATCTTCTAACTGATTTTCTTTATATTTAAAATATTAGTTGAAACTAGTTTAAATGACTTCTTTTTATAAATTTTAATTATTTTTAATAAGATTTTTATTCATTTTTAAGAGAAAAATTAAAATTAACTGTGGTTTTCCATTCTAGTAAAAATGAAGAATTATTGACTACCATTGATAGACTGTTTAGTAACAAAGTAATAATACTATAATAAAGTAATATAGGATAACAATAAGAACTTAAAATGATATTTAAAAAATATAAGGAAACAAATAAGTAACTTTTAAGTCATAAAACTTTATAAAAAATTGTCTATTATTATTGTTAATTTTCCTAAATATATTAATTTTAATTTTTGAAAAACAAAATAAAATATAATAAATTTACGTGAATAAAATGACCAATACTCTAGATTCTTAAACTTATTATAAAACCGAGCTAATTTTTATAAAGTCAGTTTTAGCATCAAAAATAAAAACCTATTAATTCAATTCGAAATTTAATCTTTCGACTTTTATATTTGGACTGAGTAGAACGTTTAATTAAAAGGTAATAATACTGAATAATGCTTACGCAATGAAACAGTAATACCTGAATAATAACTTATTAACACTGAAGACAAAATTAATTACACAACAGTGCAAAACAGATGAGATATATTAAAATATATTCAGAGTTTAAACTCTCATAATAATGCATATAATTTATTCCAGAATCCATAGACATCTGATAGAGTTCGTTATTTTTAAATTTGCCAAAATTGTTTCCAAAGTGCCAAGAGAAGTTTCATCCTTAAAGTTATCAATGCAGCCAACTTTAACAGTTCTAAATTCGATAGATCGGAAACGTTCGAACAGTGATACCAACTTAAAGGCAACTTGGAGATGATCATCAATTCAATGATCATTTTCCTCGCAAAACTATTCTGTTTTCGATATTTCATGCTTTGTTGTAATACTAGAAGCCAAAATATACATACATTAATACTTACGCATAGAAGAATTTAATAATTAATATTTAAAAGTTTCAAAAATATCGTGTATTTTTAATCATTATTTATTATTACAATTTATTTTAACTCTTTTTATTATATCAAAATATGATAAATATATCGATATACCATCTAAAGTATCTTTCAACCATGATTACAATTTGTATTCTCTTTATGTCAATAGACTAAAATTTTCAGGTACACGATATTTTCAGGAACATCCTGAATAATAAACGTGGTAGAAACGGTGAAAGCGAAATAACTATCGAAGCGTGGTTTTGCATGTATTGTGAAATCAATTTTCAATGAAACCTTGTAATTATTGAACAATATCCATAGGAAAATGATTTACAAACCTTTGATTTTGGTAAACGAATTATATACCACAGCAAGTGTACACGAAACATATTATAGGTTACGAGATTTAATCGATTATGCAGGTTTAGTTAGCCTCTGTATATCTCAAACGTAGATAATCAATCGCAATTATCGAACAATATATTACGCCTATTTTTATTGACATTTATAAACACGAAGAACATCGAACATGCAGACTGCAAATCGAACAAACATCTTATTCGACAATGATACAAGCAACAGAGAACGTTGATTCGTTCTTCGACTAACGAATAAAAACTTCAGTCTCTAATAACGACTAGCTCTAAGTAGACACATATACCAACTATAAGTAGGACTCACCACGTAGATGTCGTCCAGCAATGAATTCTCTTGTATGCACGAATTTATCTTAACAAACTTTCATCGTTTATACTTTAGTTCCGTAGTAGGTGGCGACACGTACGATTCACGCAGTATGCGACTTTTAATTTCCTTAGTGCAATGTCTCTATCACAAACCATACGAACAACTGGTTCACTGTCGCGTGTATTTGCATCGACGTCAAAAATTAGCAGTGAGAAATTGAAATGGATTCCTCGTGTTCTTTACCGTGCATTTTCACTCCTACGTTGCAAACTATCGCATAAATTTTTAGCCAAGGCTTTACTTTCTCGTCGAAAGATTCTACGTGCGAAAAGATTAGATAACCTATAAAATTAAAAAATAGGAGAACTATTCGTTGTGTTTTTCCTTAATAAATGAGGGACATGTGTTCATTTACAATAATGCGAAATTGAATTCATTGGAACTAATTGAATAGATGCTACTTAAAGTAATTAAAAGATCACGTAGTCGGATAATCGTATTTTATAGGATGACACGATCGATATTCTGAGAATTACGATACGTTAGTAAGTTAAACAAAACTTTTATTTTTTGTGATATTTATACGTTTAATAATTTTGTCTACTGCAATTTTAAAACATTGTACCGTTGTAAATGTATAGATAAAAATTATTGTATAGTACAAAAATTTTCTTCATGGGGGGGGAGGGGGGGATTTAATCGTGAAATTTGTAACAATGATATAATAATTATTAAGATAGTCTTTTTTTTTAAATATTTGCGTCTATACATTGTGTTGTTATCAAATGAAATTTTTATATGTTATATCATATTTTATGCGAATATAAATAAAATTGATATTAAGTTATAGGAATAATTGTATAACCAAATGTAAGATAATGTAAAATTGTTTCATGAGCTTTATTTATATCTTCGCAAAATTGAATTACCAAAGTTTGTTTAAAAGCCGGATGTGTAAACTTCAAACATATGTTATAAATCAATCCTAGAGTAATAGGCATTTTCATTTTGGTCTTTAAATAACTTGCAGCTTTCTTGCAACCTTGAATTCTTGAATATCCTGCGAATTTTTATACTTTTATATCTTTTTATATTAACATGGAAAATAATGAAATAAAATTAATTATTTTAATTTTAAAATAATAACGGAAAATTTTGCTTCTCGCGTTCAATTGCATTGTGCTGTTTAGAAACTGTTTTATACCAGATTTATCTGGAAATACACTATATAAAGCGCAGTGCAGCGTACCATAGAGTTGCATGAAACTGCATGAAATCTCTTCCCGCGAATTCGACATTTTACGAGTTTAATTCCATACCGGTTAACAGTCGTGTAAATTTAGAGGTTTTATTTGACCAAAAATGCTCACGATGACGTGAATAAAATCGAATGAATCATGATATATAGCTATTCATAATTACTTTTTACAATCTCGTGTAAATTTTCACGTTTAAAAGAGTATTCATAAATATTTCAAATACATTTTCATAGAATCATCCCAAGTAATTTCGTAATAAAATCCATGAATATATTCTACCGAAATCATTAAAATCGATTTAATCGATTAAATGATTTGGATGATAAAATTAATCGTTAAACCCATTATACGATTACATTCCGATATGTATTCCGATTAATGGCATCAGATAAATTACTAAACGTGCATGCCTCGCAAAATGACAAGCATTTTCTGCAGAATCAACAGGTCAAACCTCATTCAAATCCTTATTTGTCATTGTACTGGTTGAACGGTACGTGCTTGAAGGCGCAATAATAACAGAAAAAAAAGAAAAAAATTGTTCTTTGCAATTCTATTGGGAAAAAACTTTTGAATCGAATATAATTCACCGAATGCTTTTTAAACGGTATCTTTTGTGTGTATACATTGACACGAGCTCATTGGTCGATCAGCGAAGTTTGTTAAAAATTCTACGACAATCGATGCGACGTCAAGTAAACTCAACAGTCGCACAGTTAAAAAGTTATAATCACTCCTTTACCATCATTCGAAAAAACCCCCGTTGAAGCATCGTGTCGAAGCGCATCGCCATCTTCATTCACCCATGTCATGCACCCTCCCTATTCCATACAAACCACTCCGTTCCTCCACCATTACCCTCATCCCCTCCATAGCTCACCCGCGCACTCAGCCACAGCACATTTTCTCTCGCTTTCGTCTCTTTCTTTTTACCTTTTCTCTCGTATTTCCTTTCTTTCGCTTACACTCACAATGCATTACTCCCTATTTTCATCCTTTGCTTCAACTACCTTTGTTTTCTCTCTACTCCATCCAGAACAAAGAGCAGAAAAAAAAGGAGAAAGTGAAGATGAACGAGGAAAAAACAAAAATGACACGTTCGAACGAAGGAGTGAAAGAAGCATCGACTATGAACGATTTTCTTACTTCGTCGAAGAATCCTCGGCAACGAATCGAATCACGTAAGGCTAGAATGGTTCGGATGCGTTACATATATCCGTTACGTGTTATGTCATTTTCCGTCCTGCTGATTCATCGCTGATCGAGTCCTCGGCCGCGGTCATCCCCTTTTCTTTTCGTAGCCATACATTCCTCAAGCAACGACAGACCGGTGAAGAGCAGAGAGAGAAGATACGTTTTGCAACGCATTCGCGGGACACGTGAACCACCGATGGAAAGGACAGCAGCGACAGCGAGAGATGGTGGTGTCAAGCGAACGACATACGAATGTCAAAATAGAGAAAGACAGAGATGCCGGGCCGGAGGAGGTTGAGAGAGAGAGAGAGAGAGAGAGAGAGAGAGAGAGAGAGAGAGAGAGAGAAAGAAAGAGACCGATAAAGGAGAAGAAGAAAGGGAAAACCGATCGGCGATGTGTAGCCGCGTGCGCCACCACGATGGCCGATCGAAAAAAGACAACTAAGAAGATGATGACGAAAATGACGACAACAACAATACTGACGACGACAAGGACGAGAAAGAAAACGTAGCCTCTCGTCAAACCCACATCGGCGACGCTTAACGTCGGGGCTGCTCTGGGCGTCGCGGCGCTCACACATCGGCTCACTGAGCTCGAGGTAGGCGACACCGTCGGAACGGAGGATCGCGGCTACGGCCGACAAGGACCGAGAGAGCAAGCCGAGCTTTCCAGATGTTATTGCGCACGCGTCCTCGCACTGCACGTCAGCGTTAAATCAATTTTTAGCCATTGAAATTTCCGTTGGCTTTAGGATCGATTGCTTTTCGTTTGCCAACGAGTTTTATCTGCATTTTTCTATGAAAATTATCAATCAACATGCAGATGTATTACTTATAGCGTAAATAATTATCTCGGTTATTAACACGTAAAGCATTAACTGTAGCGTATTTGTAAAATTGTTCAAAAGATATAGGTTTTAAGTTTTAATTACTATATTTCTGTTACATTAATTTTAAAATATATAAATTTTCTTCGAGTTAGAGATTCTTTTTTATTTGAAAAATATTAAAATTATTTAATCAAATAAATGATATCTATTATTAGTATATTATGTGTAGTTTTTTAAACTAACAATTATAATATTTAGTCAATTTGTTTATTAGATGCTCTTCATACATAAACTAATATTGTAAAGAATGGATGAAAACATGATGTTTCAATACTTATCAAACGAAGATTTACATCTTAATAGTTTTTAGTTTTAACTATATAACTAAGATTATTATATGTAACTATTAATTGATATTAAATATACTTAATAAACGTACTTAATAAATTACTTATATATTATATAGTTTTATCCATATGATATTTGTAGCTATTTTTCTATTGGGTATACAAAATAATCTTAAATTAGATTCAGTAAGATTAAGTATCTTTAATTATCTTTTATAATTGTATAGATAATCAAACTATCACAGAATATTTATTGTTATTAAGTATTAATGTATAACCGTTTATTACGTTTCTAATTCAGCGAATCAATTTGATTATCTTCAATTTTCTTAAAAATAGAAAAAGAAACACTAATAATGAGTACATCAAGAAATGTAATACTAGAAAACTTTTATATTCTTTAACTTTTTTACATTTTCCTCATGTAAAGTTACAGCTGGTAAGTAATTTTAAGTTTTATTTCATAACTATTATTATATTGTTATAGTAGGAAATATTCTATAAGAATATTCAACATAAAACGTGAAAAATAATAATATATGTGTATATTTACAAGTCTCGTGTGTTGCAATTACTTAATTGCTCGATTCTGATTGGGCTCTTTTACAAAGAAGGGATGACGGTGTTCTCAGTTCATGATTTGCGCGCTACATGTTTGGCGAGTCTCCATTGGTTGAGTTACCTGAAAGGTCGACGAATCAGCCATTCATTTCTAAACCCTCACTGCTTTTAACCCTCGGAAGAACGCCAAGTATCAGTTTTGTTACTCAGAGTTATCAGTATCGATTATAACTTATGATGCTATTGAATATTATAAATATAACCATAGCAATCCAAACTCATCAGTGTAAAGTAATCGAGAAGAAAATATACTGTGTGATTTCTGCTTTTAGTGTGTGTTTTTAAGTGTAAGATAATAGATGAGAGCTTGGTAACAGTGGGGTGTAGGGGACGCGCTCTCGTGGTGGATGCGCCAAATGCCAGTGTCAATATGGCCGTTGCCGAGCGCGCAGTGTGTGGAGAGACGCGGTCGCGATAGTTTGTTCGGTCTCTAATATGAGGAACGCTCCGGTAGGAAAAAACGTTTGTACGTAATATTAACACGTTATTGAAAATTTCAACAAAATGAATTGTGTTGTGGAAGAACGAATAAACAACTTACAAAGCGAAAATGCTCTGGTGCAAGGTACGTGGTTATCGTGTTTGTCAAGTGTTTTTCAAATCGTTGTTTACGAATATTTAGTGCCAGAAACACACTAGTCTTAGCACGCAGCCTCCTCGACGCGCGTTCGATCGATTTGTCGCTACATTTATTGGCATTACCATTCAATGGCTGCTAACTGAGTCTGTAGAAATGCAAATAAAATCTCTAAGCAGATGTATTATATTTCTTAGTGATAATTTTACAAGTTTTCTGTGAAAAATCAACTTTGTACTAAGTGAACAACGCATCGTTGTAAGAGAAGTTTAATTTGTTTGACTGCGTTTGCCTGTATTTATTTAAAATTGTTTGTTAAATACTTTTAAATACGTTTTTCTTTTTTAATTTTTGTGCATATATATTGTTTAATAAAATTCTATATTATTCCCGAGTATTTTTAAATAATTTTGATATCTATTATAAATTTCATAAATTCATATTAAAATGTCTTAAAGAAAATTTAATAAATTTATTAAATGTTGAATATTACTAACATTTTATTAAATAATGAAGAAAGTGTTTAAAGAGATTGCTGTCTATTTATACTAAGTTTAATCGATTTTTATTAACATTATTGTGATCATTTCGTATTATTTACAAATTTTAAATAATTAACAAAAATAATTTGTTGAATCTTCTTTCTATTTAATAGTGTAGCCAAAAGTGTATAGTGAGCTCGTGGTTAAGTGATCATATAATATAGATAAAAACAAAGTATTTCTTATTACATATAAAATTTGAAATAAATTTAGAAATCATATTCTACGTACTCGTAATGAAATTGTAACGTATGCTTCCACTATCATGTTATGTAAATGATTAGGCATGTACATTTACTTATGGTATTCTTTTGAAACGAACTTTTACTCGTGCCAAGTGTGTGCGGCACCCGCGTTTAAACAATTTAAATTATGAACTAGTAGGATGTGATACGTGATTTTCTTATCTATTTTTACATCTTTTATAGCAAAATTTTATGTTGTGTTTCACTTGGACAAAATTTTTTAAATGTATAAAACTTTTTTATTTAATTATTAAATAATTGAATTACTATATTTTGGTTATTTTGTCTGCCAAATTAAATGTAATTATAGGTTACTTAATATATTTTTTAATTATTCGTTCATTTTTCTGAATGAAGTTATTTTCGTTCAATCATAATTTTTTATAAAATTATGTTTAAAAAATACTTTATAAAAAATCTTTAAATAAATATTTATTTATCAATGCACAGATATCAAGAAGGAAATGGTTAAAAACAGTGGAAAGCTAAAATTGAACAATGATGAATCAAAATCATCAATTACAGAAATATTTCCTTGGATTTTAGAGTTTAGAAAAATGTACAGGCGTATACATACAGAGAAAAGTATGGCATCTTTAACAGAACTTATGCAGTTTTACATGAGGTAATAATTATATCATAAGTTAGTGTTAATGATAACTTCAGTTTACCAGTAACATTTTCTCTGGGAACTGGTTTAAAAATCAGTAAAAATAAACATTAATTTTATAAATAGTATTATACATAAATTTATATATAATTGAAAATTAAAAAATGATCAAGGACACTTGTAACAGGAAAGTTACTATAACATAATATAATAAACCAACATAAAGTAGTGAAGATAAGGGGATAAATAAATAAATTTTAGTTTTTGAATTTAAGAAATATAATTTTCATTAATATTAAATTATGATTAGTATTATAAAATGATTATATTTTTCCAATAATTATAATAAGTGAAAATGATAAGAATTTTAAATAATGTGGTAAAGTAAAAATGGTATGCTAACAATGATATCAGTAAAAAGTCATTCAAAATTAATGATGTTAATTTCTTAAATAAATTAATATCCAAATGCATTGGAAAATGTCCCTTTTTTAAATACTTCAAAAGATGTAATGTTTTAAAATAATATAAAGGTATATTAAAAATAATTATAAATTCAAAATCTTGAAAGTGATACTTTTTAAGCTTTTAGAATTTCATTTAAAAATAATATATATGTATATATATATATATTAAAATTTTTGTAATTAAACAATATCAATGAAATATATTAATAAAATTTGTATCAGTTATCTAAATCTAAATCTAAACTATATCATTAAACATAAATTTGTTATAATAAAAAATATAATATTGCTAAAATTCAATTAGTCAAAAAATTTGAAATTTTTTATTTTAGTTAGAGACAGATGTAAATAGTATGTTGTAAATCTATAAATTTTAATACTTTAACAATATTAAAAGTGCTTCAGCAATTAATTTGCTTACAGAAATGTAAGTGCCAGTGTAAATGAATGTTACACAAGGCCTTTAAGAGCTGCAAAATTGAAGGATTCTATTAGTGAGACTTTAATATTATTCTTGTATATTTATCGTGAACTTTCTGAGGTAAGCTCTTTTCTTTTATATGCAAAATTATTTCTTATATTATTCTGGATTTTAAAAAACTTTAACATTTTAGGATCGTGATAGATTCAGTTATTTAAATAATATGTCAGACTTATTAGCACTCTATATAGATATGGAATTAAAAGCATCTAGGAAAAGCAGAGAGGATCATGATAAAATTTGTGCAAGAGTTACATCCTGTCTTTATGTTTATTTAGGTATGATTATATTTGTACAAGATTCTTACAATAATTAATTTAAGTACAAACACTATAAAATGCTCTAACATTATAAAGTATACTTAACAAGGAATTTACGTGTGCCTCTTTCAGAACATTCCATTGAATATTTATTAGATACTTTAATGAAAATACAATTTATGTGTCGCAGTTATCATCATATTTTAGATCCAGTTATAATGTAAGTATAAAATATAATAAAACAATCAGTTTTGAATATTTTATTGCAATTTTAATTAATGGAAATTCAGTCAATTAATATAAAATTAGTTTTATTATTCCCAATAAAATTATCTTTTAGCTTAGAATAAATTTATGTATTTTTACATTTGAATATATATACAATTCTTTACAGTCATTTATTGTAGCAGATTGTTTTTTAATGAACAGTATTTGAAGAGATAAGAAATATACATTTAAATTTAATATCATAAAGACATTGAATAATAATGACATATCGTGTTTCATAAATTTATTGGTATTATTCTATATTCAAATATTTTCTTTTTAGGAAAATAATAAAGAATATTCCCCTACATCCAGAATCAAGTATTATGTATATTCGTTACTTTTTCATTTATCGTTTGTGGAGAAAAATAAATGAAAATGTGGCTGTCAAAAATCAGATAACAGCTGCTGCAATAGCATCTCTGGGGCCATTGCCATCTACATTCTCATCAAGTTTATTAGAAGATGTATTGCCAAAAGTGCCAAAGAGTCAACCAAATTCTACAAAAGCTCTATTGCAGCATAAATTTGATATAAAAAAGCATTGTGAAATGTTTACACGATACTGCAAAGAAAATAATGGAAGTGTATACCAGAAGGACGGACCTGCAACTCCCATTGATTCGTCCAGTAGAATTAATTCAAAAATGGTATTTATCTATTTATTTTTTTTATTTATATTTGTTTCATTTAATAGATACATTAAAAATTTATAGCAACCACTTTTAAACTTCTAAAGAAATTATATATAAGTAATATCTTTAAATAACCAAATAAAATTATGTTTATATAAGTGATGAAAATGTTGAATGAAAATATCGATTAATTTAACATAAAGATAATATAATTAACTTTATTATGATAAAATTAATAATATTTATGTTCATGCACGTGCTCAGCCGGAAGATATCGTTAAGAAAGATGTAGAATATGTAGATAATAACGTAAATTCAATTATATCAGATAAAAATAAACAAAATCAATCTATTTCTTTGCTAAAAACTTTTAAATCTCTAAATTTGGAAAAACAATCTAGTTTTAAACGTTTAGGTACTTTTTCGAATAATATTTCTACGGAGGACCTTAATCCTAAAACAATTAAATCAAATAAAAATCGTTTGAGGAGAAAATGTAAAAAGTCCAATGAGATTGTAATTATTGATTTAACTAGTGATATAGTGCTCGAAAAGTGTATAAAAAAAAGGAAGTCTAGAAAATTACCGTGGTTAGAAGAAGCGAAAAAGAATATCGATTTGAAAATAGTAAAAGCATCACAGAAAAAGAAGAAACAAGAAAATATGGGGCATATACAACCATCAAATACTTCACGAAATGCTAATCATCATCCGGAAGATTCTTCTCAATTAATACGTGCCACGGAAAATCTCAGTGAAAAAATCGAATCTAATACATACCGGACGATTGTTAAAAACAATGAAAATAAAATGGAAATTGACAAGTCGATAGCTTGTACAGAAAACATACGAAAATCGATCGATACGGAAGTCAATAATAAAGAAATAAATATTAAAGCATCTACGATAACTAACAAAACAGTTTTAACCGAGATACTTTCGCTAACGAAGCAAGTATCAAAAATTTCAAACAGCGTTGTTAATGGTAATTGTTTAAGTAATGGAGATATTACGAATATACAGAGCGATGAAAAAGAGAATGATAGATTTAATAAACAAACTGTGATCAAGCGACTGACAGAAACAGATGTTTTCTCAGAGCCTGAAACATGCGAAAAAGTTGAAAGTTTTAAAAAAGTCTGTGATCTAGAAACAGAATGCCCAGATGTAAATAGTATTATGATATGTGCTCAGCATGATTCCAAAGATAACGCTGTTAGTTCTAATCGTTCCAAGTTTAATGTAATTAACAATGATATAATAGAAAAAATAACATCGTCGGAAAATGTAATGCTCGAAAAGAATAATCAAACTATCGCGAGCGACAAAATGTTGAAGAATAATCGTTTCGATGAAACTGTTTATAAATCTGTGTATTCTAACAACATGCTTAATTCTGAAGTTAGAAGTGAAAAATTAATTACTGTGCAAAATAGCGATAAAACTGAAGCGATTTCTATTGAAACGTCAAAAAGCGTTGAAACTCCTCCTGTTGAAGGAATATTAAATTATGAGGAGAAGCAAGAGTTATCGTGTGTATTTATCGAAATCTCGGCAATCCAAGAAAAATGTGACTCTCAAAAGGAATCGAAATCATTAAAATGTACAAACAGCCCAAAAAGTGAATTCTGCACACAAATAGAATTAGACGTTTGTAATTGTGAAAACGTGAATGAGAATGTAAGAGAGAATAAGTCAAGCATCGGTAATATTAGAGAATCTATTTTCGAATCTTATTCTGCGGATAAGAAAGATATTTCTAATACAGTTAATACAACGTGCTCACATGAAAATATTGAAAATAATGGAAATCCTTGTATTGATACAAACCTTAAAAAGCCTATAGAAGATATAAGAAACGACAAGTGCGATAACAATTTTGGCAAATACGTTAATAAACAAGATTTTCCTCACGAATCTAATGATGTATCTCATCTGTCATCAGAAATAGGGTTGAAAAAATCTAATAGCTTATATAAAACAACAGAGAAAAAGAATCTAGGTAACGTTGCCGAGAATAAATATATCATCCAAGGTACTGAATTACAAGACAATATTGATGGTCTGTCGCTGTTGGCTAGTGTTTCGCAACATGTGCCGCATTTAAAACCTGAAACAGATGTAAAATGTGACCAAATAAAAGTAAAAGATTATGCATCCTTGAGGTATGCATGTTACAATCAAATTACTGATGAAGACGTTGATACAAATGATTCATCGAATACCGTTTCTCAATTACTCAAAAATCCATCCACGGAAATTATCAATAAAATCGTTGGCATCTACCCTGAAGACCCCTTAGATAAAGTCACGCTTCGCTTAGAAGTAACATCTAACCAAACAGAAGGCCAAAATGGTAATAGCGAATTGTGCAAAGTTATTTCTCATCCAGAAACAAGTATAAATTACGACGTGGATGCGTTGACACATAATTTGGCCCCCATAGAGAATAATGTACAAACTGTGAAAGAGAATACAAATGTAATACTAAACGGTGAAACCGTAGTTTTACTACAGAAATCTCCCAATAGCAATTTGTACATTATAAACAAAGCAGTTGAAAATTCGAAGGATCATAATAATGACGAAGAAATCTGTAGGTTAAAGGAAAAGAATTGGATACCTCCAATCGAAGACTGTGGGCAATTCGAAGCTATAGCTTCTCTGGATCACGTATCATATAATTTAGAATTAACCCCTTACAGCAAAGAATTATATCAAGAGGGCAAATGTTCCGTAGTAAGAGGCAAAGGAATCAAGCTAGAACCAGAAGACAACAATTTCTCGGACGCAAAGGTGTACTCGAAAAAGGTACCGCTATCGACTGAAATGCTTTCCGTCAATTCGCAAATGTATCAAGATGTGAACATTATGAATAAATCGATGGATAAGCGAAAATCGTCAAAATCAAATCTTACCTTCCGACAGAATATCAAGCAAGAATTCAATAATATTTCTAATCACATCACATCGAACTGCGCGATCCCGGGATTCAACGGGATTCATTCACATCCACACGAAGTTGAGGCTCAACATCCCTTACATATTCCTGCCACTCATCCGACCACCTTACCACCAATCTACGGAAATTGTGCTGGCAACGCGGAATTGTGCGTACCATATCATAAGCATTGCACTTCAGTATCATGTAGTTTGCAAATTAATGCCACCACTTCTCTTCATTCACATGCGAAATCAGGCAGTCCTTGTGGAAGAGCGCATTGCTCGTGTTTAAATTGCACCTATGACATCGTCGCACATTGCAGGCAGTGTATACACCCGTCGACGGATACCCACGTGTCTTGTATCGAAAGTAGTCCGTATTTTTTGCCAACGCACTCGTCAGTACAAAGCCCTGCCGTCCAAGAGCATGACAGAGCGAAGAATGAAGTCGTCATGGAAAAATTATACGACGATCAACTATTATGTAAAATAGAAAAGAATCTGTTGCAGAAGAATTCGTTGGAGAAACTTGAAGTACAGTGTGACTCGGAAAAGATATTTAACAAAGATGCGGAGAATAAGCTGCCTTTGAAGAAAAGGCTGAAAGCGCATGCTATGGCATATGAAGAAGTAGCGATAAAAGCTGAAAAAGTAGATAATTATCCTGCTATGCCTATGATGTCCATAGCCGCTTTAGAAGCGTCAGATAATACGCGAAAGAGATCTGATCAGATTGTTAAATCCGAATACGAGTTATCTCTTGCAAAAAAGGAGGAATCACATGAAAATTATCACTGTAGTTCAAATTTGATCGGAAAAAATTATTATAAAAACATGCATGTTGTCGCTTCGCATCAGAATCTTGCAAAAGAAAATACAAGAAAAATCGAGTGTCAATTTCGGTCGACAAATGATCAGCCTGCTAATACGGTATGTCAAGAATCTTATCTTCAGAGAACAGTTAAAACATCCGCTCAAAGGAAGGAGATGAATTTGTCAGATATGACGTCGTTAAAGCGATTCGAAATAGAGCCGATAGAACAAGAAGGAACGTACAAAAAAGTAAAGAAAACACAATCGCCCCTACGGCAAACTAGAAGCTCAAAAAGAAACGTTCCTAAAGTAAATTATTCTTACACCGATGTTGATCCAGAATGGAATCCGTCCGGTGAGTCAAAACGCAAACGTAAAAAGACTAGTCGATGATCGATACCGCCTCATTATGGAAATTCGTTATTGTAAGAAATTTTTCTGAGATTTAAATGAATAAGTGTACATTGATCCTATAAGACTGTGGCATCGTAAACTTGTAAATATTGTATAAATAAGAAAATGAATCGACTTGGGAAGATATTTGCATACCGGCAAACTATATAGTACAACGCCTGAAGATCAACATTAGTGTAATTTTTTGAAGAGTTTCGAAGCAACAACATGGAAGATGTTTAGATTTTGTAGATAGTACCTGTATTTTATTCAACACAAGCAGTTTCGTACTAAAACGGTAGGAAATTCTTTCGTGGCCGTAATTTGTTTTGTATGAAATTGTACAGTATTATACCGCAATTTATTGAATTTTGGTGGTTAATTGATTTTCTTGACGATTTAAATTAAATTGAGTATATCTATAATTGTTTAGAACAAAAATTCGTCATTTATGGAATAATTAAAATCCTTAGAAAATTACTTTTGTACATAATTATGTAAATATGATATAGTAATCCAAAATAATTATATGCAAACGTATCAATTTTATAACACTTATATGAAAGGTAAGATAATTTATATTAAAGAATAATTGTAGATGTATTCTTAAGTTACATAAAACTAGCAGATAAAGTACTATTATATGATACTATTATTATTATATGATAAAGTACTATTATATGGAATAGTTCAAAATTTATCAACTTGAAAAAAGAAATGAAGTGAATATAAATTTATTACTGGATTATAAGTTTTAAAATTTTATGTAGCAGATTATGAATTATTCTAATGCATGCAATTAAAGTCAATGTTTTAATTCCTCTGACATCTTAAAACATTAAGTTTTATATTTTTCAGTTTGGTGAAATAAAATTATTTAAATTCAGAGAAATAAGAAAACCAGGCTGATGACATTATAGTTTGTTAAAAGAATTTTAATAGGTAAGATTAAAAAAGAATAAATACTGATATGTATTATTTATATATATTTCTATAACTTTATATATATA